GTTTGATTCAAAAAGGAAGAAGAAGAAGCCGATTGTCATCCCTCAAGTGGCACGAAGACCAACTTTCCCTGTCAAGGATGGATCTTCTTTTGTCAAAACCAACGATCCACCTAAGAAAGACAAGAAAGATTTCAAAATGAGTGACATTGTTTGTTACAAGTGCGGAGGGAGGGGCCATTTTAAGAAGGATTGTCCAAATTCCAGAGCTTTGACCATGCAAGAGGTAAAGCTTATTGCTAATCAAACTATCAATTGGGAGGATTTCGAGGTTGAAGAAGTGGAGGACGTGAATTCTAATGAAGGGGACGAGGAGGAAGAGCAATGTTTCCCCGAAGAAGAGACCAAAACAAATTTGGTTGTGAGAAGGGCGTTGCAAGCTCGTGTTGATGAACCCTTGGCACCGCAAAGGCAACATATTTTCATTACCAAGTGCAAGAATAAAGGCGAGGTATGTGATTTAATTGTTGATGGTGGTAGTGAGGCAAACACAGTTTCCAAAACCTTGATAGCTAGACTTTGTCTTACCACGACAAATCACCCACATCCTTATAAGTTGAGTTGGTTGGACTCTAATTCGAGTACGGGGGTTAGGAAACAATGCATGGTTAATTTTTCTATTGGGTCTTACCATGATACTCAACTGTGTGATGTTGTGTCTATGGATGCTTATCACATTTTGCTTGGTAGACCTTGGCAAACTGATTGAAAATCTCAACATGATGGGTACCATAACACTTACACTATAACTCACCAAGGAAAACAAAAAAAATTGCACCCTTTACCACCCCCACGGTTTTCACAAAATCCTAAACAATCAAAGGAGGTGTCATTGCTTACCCTTAAGGAATTTGAAAGGGAAATTAATGGTGAGGAGGAATTATACTTGTTGTACTCTAAAGAGATCCACGAAAATTTTGTGAGTCAAAATCCTAAATTAGCTCAGTTGATTAAGTATTTTGAGGATGTTTTTCCCGATGAGTTACCGAAAGAGTTACCACCTTTGAGGGGAATTGAACATCAAATTGAACTCATTCCGGGTGCTCCCTTGCCTAACAAACCTGCCTATATATGTAATCCCTTGGAAACTAAGGAATTGCAACGACAAATTGAGGAGTTGATGAGTATGGGGTATGTAAGTGAGTCTATAAGTCCGTGTGCTGTTCCTGCTCTTTTGGTCCCAAAAAAGGATGGTACATGGCGCATGTGTATTGATAGTAGGGCTGTTAACAATATTACTATCAAGTATAGGTTTCCAATTCCAAGACTAGATGACATGCTTGATGAACTGAGTGGTTCGAAGTGGTTTTCAAAAGTTGATTTGAGGAGTGGTTACCATCAAATTCGGATGAGGAAAGGAGATGAATGGAAGACCGCTTTCAAAACCAAGCACGGCTTGTATGAGTGGCTCGTGATGCCATTTGGACTCACCAACGCACCTAGCACTTTCATGAGGTTGATGAACGAGGTGTTGCGGCCTTTCCTTGGCAAATTTGTGGTGGTGTACCTCGATGATATCCTTATTTATAGCAAAGATGGGGATGAACATTTGATACATTTATTTAAAGTTTTTACGGTTTTGAGAGAACAAAAATTGTATGGAAAACTTGAAAAATGTAATTTTATGCTATATGAGGTCATTTTTCTTGGTTACATTGTTTCAGGAGAAGGTGTGAAAGTTGATCCTAGCAAGATTGAGGCTATTCAATCATGGCCTAGTCCAAAGACACTCACGGAGGTCCGTTCTTTCCATGGATTAGCTTCCTTTTATAGGAGGTTCATTCATAATTTCAGCACTCTCATGACCCCTATCACCGAGTGCACAAAGAAGGGCTCATTTGAGTGGACTCCTCAAGCTCAAAAGGCATTTGAAGTGATCAAAGAAAAAATGTGCAATACACCCATCCTAGCACTTCAAGATTTTTCAAGGCCATTTGAAGTTGAGTGTGACGCAAGTGGAAAGGGGATTGGTGCCGTGTTGATTCAAGAAGGGCGTCCTATTGCTTACTTTAGTGAGAAATTGAGTCAAGGCAAGCTGAATTATTCCACCTATGATAAAGAGTTCTATGCAATGGTGCGAGCTTTGAATCATTGGTCGCATTACTTGAGGCCACAACCATTCATACTTCATTCTGACCATGAATCTTTGAGGTTCATCCATGGCCAAAAGAAGTTGAATTCGAGACATGCAAAGTGGGTGGAATTCTTGCAAACATTTAACTTTTCATCAAAGTACAAGAGTGGGAAGGCAAATGTTGTTGCAGATGCCTTATCTCGAAGGCATACTTTACTTGGAGTCGTTGAGGCGAAAGTCCTTGGGTTCGAATTAATCAAAGAATACTACAAGGAGATGATGACTTCAAGGTCATTTTGGAGAAATGCGTGAATGGTAGTTATGAATTTTTTTCCTTACAAAATGATTTTCTTTTTAAGGGAAATAGGTTATGCATTCCAAAATGTCCAATTCGAAGCTTGTTGATTCATGAAGCGCATGGGGGAGGTTTGGCAGGCCATTTCGGAGTTCAAAAGACTATGGAGCTTCTGCAAGCTCACTTTTATTGGCCTAGTATGCTACCCACTGTGCACCGTGTTGTGGCACGTTGCTCTACTTGTCAAAGGGCAAAGATGGTGTTTCACAAAGGTCTTTACAAGCCATTGCCAATTCCGGAGAGACCTTGGGAAGACATAAGCATGGATTTAATTATGGCTTTACCTAGAACTCAAAGAGGTAAGGACTCAATCATGGTGGTAGTTGATCGTTTTTCAAAAATGGCTCACTTTGTCTCTTGTCATAAAACCGAAGATGCTGCGAAGGTGGCGAAATTATATTTTGATGGGGTTGTTCGTTTCCATGGGATCCCACGCACCATTGTTTCAGATCGAGATACAAAGTTCCAAAGTCATTTTTGGAAGTCCTTGTGGCGTCTTATGGGAACCAAGTTGCTGTTTTCTACCTCACATCACCCCCAAACCGATGGCCAAACCGAGGTGGTAAATAGGGTACTAGGTTCTTTGCTTAGGACCTTGGTTAGTAAAAGCACCAAAGATTGGGATGTCAAACTCGCTCATGCCGAGTTTGCTTACAATAGAACTCCTAGCACTACTACAAAGTATTCTCCTTTTGAAGTAGTCTATGGTTCTAATCCTTATGTTCCAATTGATCTCATAGCATTGCCTCGAGACAAGTTCGTGCATGGAGGTGCCAAAGAACAAGCCGAATTCATGGTGAAAATTCACACGGAAGTAAGGAAGAACATCGAAAAGGCTAATGAAATCTATAAGAAGCAAGCCAACAAGGGGGTCAAAAACGTGAGAAGTTTTGAAGTTGGTGACTTAGTGTGGATTTACATGAGGAAGGAAAGGTTTCCCAATCAAAGGAAGAACAAACTCATGCCACGAGCCGAGGGTCCTTTTGAGATAGTGGAAAAGATCAATGACAATGCCTACAAGGTAGATTTGGGAGGAAAGTATGTCGTCTCAAGCACATTCAATTTGGGGGATCTAGCACCGTACTATAATGATGAAGAATTGAGGGCAATTCCCTTTGAAGAAGGGGAGGATGACCAAAGTGGTCAAGGTTCGAATATTCCAGTCCAAGAGTTGAATGTTAGGGAATTGATTTTGTCCAAGTCTTTCTTCGATTCTACTCCTATGGATTTTGGCATGCACGGTCCATATAATTCCTCAACTGGCTGCACCATATTGAGCGTGACTAATTACCTTGATAATGGGGGAATATAGACGGACTTATGGAGAGTTTCAAGCTGGTTTAACTTCGTAATAAAGGAGCTTGAATGAAGGCTTAAATGAGGGGGTTACAAAGGCGCATTTCAAGGCTGTTTTGGAGGACGAATTTGGACAGCATGTTGGAGTCAATTTGCTGGACGTTTTGGGAGTTATTCTTCCCTTGTTATAAGCTTTCTTAATTAGAGTAATAAATAGTTGTAATGGGGTTTAAGTTGGACGATTATGAGCCACTTAACCTACCCTTATTTTTCAGTTTTGTTATTTCTGATTTGTTGCTTGTTTAGCTAAGTGTAGTGGCAATTAAGTGATGTACTAAAGCTATAAATAGCATGCTAATGATCAATGAAAGGAACCCAGAAATTTGCAAGAAACACACGAGTGTATGATCTAAATTTGACTGGTGCTAGTCAGGTTTGATTTTCCAAACTTGAGAGTTATCTCAATTTGAAGAGTTTGTGTTTTAGTGAGAGTTCCTAAGACTTAAACTTGTAGTTGTCGAATAGGTGAGAGTTCCCTAATCACTACTACGCCCAAACAAGTGAGTGAGTGTTCCTCATTGTTATATCCTCAAGGTTAAGGGTGAGAGTTCCCCTAGTCCTTCTTAGTTACTTCACATTGCTACTTCTAATTCAACTTAACACAACACGCATTCCAGACCGTTTGTAAACAAGTTCCTCACCTTGCTTACACATCATTTGGCGCGTCAGGTAGGGGGAGAGTTTTCTTAAATTCTTCCAAAGGGGTCGAATACCTACACACCATGGGAGAAAATCAAGACTTGAGGACAGCTTTGGAAGCTCTTAATCGATCCATCGCTAGTCAAGAGAGGTTGGCCGAAACCAACGCCAATCTACAAGGGAACCTTGCTGCCTTGATGGCAAGGCTCATGAACGAGCAAGATAGGAGAGATCAAGGCGATGACCCTCCGCCTAGGAGGGAAGATAGGAGTCTCAAAGTGGACGTCCCTGCCTTTGATGGGACACTTGATCCAGAAAAGTACTTGGAATGGGAGAAATCCTTGGAGAGGTATTTCGATGATAAGGACATTCAAGAGGAGTTCCAAAAATACAAGATAGCCAAGGTGAAGTTAAAAGGCTATGGAGATAACTGGCTACAAGGAGAGCAAAGGGGACGTACTCTTAGGGGTAAGGCATCCATTTCTACTTGGAGCAAGTTAAAGAAAAGGATGAGGGATCGCTTTATTCCTCACAATTTCAAACAAAGTCAATATGTGAAGTGGAGCACTTTGCAACAAAATGGAGAATCGGTTGAGGACTACATCAAAGAGTTTGACAGACTTTCTATTGTGTGTGAAATCACAGAGATGGAGAACTCAAGATGGGACGTTTCGTGGCTGGGTTGGATCAAGAGTTGCAAGACAAACTTGAAGGTTACACCAATTTAACCTTTGCTGAAGCTTGCAAATTTGTGATCAAGTTTGATTCAAAAAGGAAGAAGAAGAAGCCGATTGTCATCCCTCAAGTGGCACGAAGACCAACTTTCCCTGTCAAGGATGGATCTTCTTTTGTCAAAACCAACGATCCACCTAAGAAAGGCAAGAAAGATTTCAAAATGAGTGACATTGTTTGTTACAAGTGCGGAGGGAGGGGCCATTTTAAGAAGGATTGTCCAAATTCCAGAGCTTTGACCATGCAAGAGGTAAAGCTTATTGCTAATCAAACTATCAATTGGGAGGATTTCGAGGTTGAAGAAGTGGAGGACGTGAATTCTAATGAAGGGGACGAGGAGGAAGAGCAATGTTTCCCAGAAGAAGAGACCAAAACAAATTTGGTTGTGAGAAGGGCGTTGCAAGCTCGTGTTGATGAACCCTTGGCACCGCAAAGGCAACATATTTTCATTACCAAGTGCAAGATTAAAGGCGAGGTATGTGATTTAATTGTTGATGGTGGTAGTGAGGCAAACACAGTTTCCAAAACCTTGATAGCTAGACTTTGTCTTACCACGACAAATCACCCACATCCTTATAAGTTGAGTTGGTTGGACTCTAATTCGAGTACGGGGGTTAGGAAACAATGCATGGTTAATTTTTCTATTGGGTCTTACCATGATACTCAACTGTGTGATGTTGTGTCTATGGATGCTTGTAACATTTTGCTTGGTAGACCTTGGCAAACTGATCGAAAATCTCAACATGATGGGTACCATAACACTTACACTATAACTCACCAAGGAAAACAAAAAAAATTGCACCCTTTACCACCCCCACGGTTTTCACAAAATCCTAAACAATCAAAGGAGGTGTCATTGCTTACCCTTAAGGAATTTGAAAGGGAAATTAATGGTGAGGAGGAATTATACTTGTTGTACTCTAAAGAGATCCACGAAAATTTTGTGAGTCAAAATCCTAAATTAGCTCAGTTGATTAAGGATTTTGAGGATGTTTTTCCCGATGAGTTACCGAAAGAGTTACCACCTTTAAGGGGAATTGAACATCAAATTGACCTCATTCCGGGTGCTCCCTTGCCTAACAAACCTGCCTATAGGTGTAATCCCTTGGAAACTAAGGAATTGCAACGACAAATTGAGGAGTTGATGAGTATGGGGTATGTAAGTGAGTCTATGAGTCCGTGTGCTGTTCCTGCTCTTTTGGTCCCAAAAAAGGATGGTACATGGCGCATGTGTATTGATAGTAGGGCTGTTAACAATATTACTATCATGTATAGGTTTCCAATTCCAAGACTAGATGACATGCTTGATGAACTGAGTGGTTCGAAGTGGTTTTCAAAAGTGGATTTGAGGAGTGGTTACCATCAAATTCGGATGAGGAAAGGAGATGAATGGAAGACCGCTTTCAAAACCAAGCACGGCATGTATGAGTGGCTCGTGATGCCATTTGGACTCACCAACGCACCTAGCACTTTCATGAGGTTGATGAACGAGGTGTTGCGACCTTTCCTTGGCAAATTTGTGGTGGTGTACCTCGATGATATCCTTATTTATAGCAAAGATAGGGATGAACATTTGATACATTTATTTAAAGTTTTTACGGTTTTGAGAGAACAAAAATTGTATGGAAAACTTGAAAAATGTAATTTTATGCTATATGAGGTCATTTTTCTTGGTTACATTGTTTCAGGAGAAGGTGTGAAAGTTGATCCTAGCAAGATTGAGGCTATTCAATCATGGCCTAGTCCAAAGACACTCACGGAGGTCCGTTCTTTCCATGGATTAGCTTCCTTTTATAGGAGGTTCATTCATAATTTCAGCACTCTCATGACCCCTATCACCGAGTGCACAAAGAAGGGCTCATTTGAGTAGACTCCTCAAGCTCAAAAGGCATTTGAAGTGATCAAAGAAAAAATGTGCAATACACCCATCCTAGCACTTCCAGATTTTTCAAGGCCATTTGAAGTTGAGTGTGACGCAAGTGGAAAGGGGATTGGTGCCGTGTTGATTCAAGAAGGGCGTCCTATTGCTTACTTTAGTGAGAAATTGAGTCAAGGCAAGCTGAATTATTCCACCTATGATAAAGAGTTCTATGCAATGGTGCGAGCTTTGAATCATTGGTCGCATTACTTGAGGCCACAACCATTCATACTTCATTCTGACCATGAATCTTTGAGGTTCATCCATGGCCAAAAGAAGTTGAATTCGAGACATGCAAAGTGGGTGGAATTCTTGCAAACATTTAACTTTTCATCAAAGTACAAGAGTGGGAAGGAAAATGTTGTTGCAGATGCCTTATCTCGAAGGCATACTTTACTTGGAGTCGTTGAGGCGAAAGTCCTTGGGTTCGAATTAATCAAAGAATACTACAAGGAGATGATGACTTCAAGGTCATTTTGGAGAAATGCGTGAATGGTAGTTATGATATATTTTCCTTACAAAATGATTTTCTTTTTAAGGGAAATAGGTTATGCATTCCCAAATGTCCAATTCGAAGCTTGTTGATTCATGAAGCGCATGGGGGAGGTTTGGCAGGCCATTTCGGAGTTCAAAAGACTATGGAGCTTCTGCAAGCTCACTTTTATTGGCCTAGTATGCTACCCACTGTGCACCGTGTTGTGGCACGTTGCTCTACTTGTCAAAGGGCAAAGATGGTGTTTCACAAAGGTCTTTACAAGCCATTGCCAATTTCGGAGAGACCTTGGGAAGACATAAGCATGGATTTCATTGTGGCTTTACCTAGAACTCAAAGAGGTAAGGACTCAATCATGGTGGTAGTTGATCGTTTTTCAAAAATGGCTCACTTTGTCTCTTGTCATAAAACCGAAGATGCTGCGAAGGTGGCGAAATTATATTTTGATGGGGTTGTTCGTTTCCATGGGATCCCACGCACCATTGTTTCAGATCGAGATACAAAGTTCCAAAGTCATTTTTGGAAGTCCTTGTGGCGTCTTATGGGAACCAAGTTGCTGTTTTCTACCTCACATCACCCCCAAACCGATGGCCAAACCGAGGTGGTAAATAGGGTACTAGGTTCTTTGCTTAGGACCTTGGTTAGTAAAAGCACCAAAGATTGGGATGTCAAACTCGCTCATGCCGAGTTTGCTTACAATAGAACTCCTAGCACTACTACGAAGTATTCTCCTTTTGAAGTAGTCTATGGTTCTAATCCTTATGTTCCAATTGATCTCATAGCATTGCCTCGAGACAAGTTCGTGCATGGAGGTGCCAAAGAACAAGCCGAATTCATGGTGAAAATTCACACGGAAGTAAGGAAGAACATCGAAAAGGCTAATGAAATATATAAGAAGCAAGCCAACAAGGGGGTCAAAAACGTGAGAAGTTTTGAAGTTGGTGACTTAGTGTGGATTTACATGAGGAAGGAAAGGTTTCCCAAAAAAAGGAAGAACAAACTCATGCCACGAGCCGAGGGTCCTTTTGAGATAGTGGAAAAGATCAATTACAATGCCTACAAGGTAGATTTGGGAGGAAAGTATGGCGTCTCAAGCACATTCAATGTGGGGGATCTAGCACCGTACTATAATGATGAAGAATTGAGGGCAATTCCCTTTGAAGAAGGGGAGGATGACCAAAGTGGTCAAGGTTCGAATATTCCAGTCCAAGAGTTGAACGTTAGGGAATTGTTTCAATGTCTTTGACTTTATTTTTTTTCAATTAGCTTTGAAGAATGCATTTGAATTTCATTTGATTCAAAAAGCTTTGTTTGAATGTGTTTGACTTTCGTTCTATTCAATTAGCTTTCAAGAATACATTCGACTTTAATTTGGTTCAAAAATCTTTGTTTGAATGTGTTTTGTTTTGGGGTTTTCTGATGTCCTGCGGGAGAGTTACAATTCCGAGACTGGAACCGGACGCCTGTACCCGCAAAATAACGGAGACTCCTGGGAGCTCCGCCTCCAACGGTCAAGTTAGTACTTGATTAAGGAGTAATTAATGCGGAAATTAAAGTTATTAGGTCTCTCTAGGTGAGAGTGATTAATGTAGGTAATCTGCTTTGTTAGCGAGATCAGCCGGTTATTACTGTGTGTAATTAATGTGTTTTTTCCGTAATGTTTTTTGTTCTCTTTTTTGTAATTCCCCTTAATGAGGATTAAGGGAGGTATTTATAACCTTGGGAAACGTGCCCATCCTAGGTTTAGGTAAACCTAGGGCCGATTGGGCTTCCCTCGGAAGTTGGGCCTGGGTGGCCGGTTTCTTCATTAGGCATGGAGTATGCCACATGTCTTGACATAACAGGTCCAAGGTGGACGAATAAGCGCGTGCCACGTGGGAAGCCCTGGCTGTTCCAACTAGGGGACACTTGGCAGGACCTGATTGGTCCACGTGGCGCATTCCGATTGGTAGGAGCAAAATCCCCTAATCATTTGCCCCTCACAGGTGGCACGTGATTGGTCACGTGTTACCTGTGACAGGTGTCGCACTGTAACAGGCAACGGCCTGCTACAGGTATCAGTCGGCGAAAGGACGAGAGATTTTCCCGCCCAAATTTTGAATTCTGAAAGTGACCCTTCGCCTTCTCACTTCGCCTATATAAGGGAGAGTTGTCTTGAGTCATTTTCACACTTTGAGAACTTTTTGAGAACATTCGGACCCCTGAACTTGCGCTGACATTTTGGACCTTTTCTGCCTACCGCCTGTTAAGACAAGCCGACTGCACCGGATTTCCAGAACTTCATCAACTGTCACTCGTTCAGGTAACTCAGTTCTCTTACTCTTAATTTTCTTTTTATTTTCTGAAATGGCACCACGGAAGCACACGACACGACCTAGGTTAGTGATCAGCCGGTCACCGGGGACGGCTGAATCTAGGACTAGGAGTGCCGCCTGCCCTTTTCCGGACCCATCTTTGCCCTTTATACAAAGTCCGACTGTATCTGTGTCTATGCAGAGCAGGATGGCCAGAACGAAAAAGACAGCTAGGATCTCAAATTCAGACGGCTCCTCCCACAGGGTGCCGCTTAGTGAAACATTTGACAAGGCGCCAGATGTGGAAGTGAAACAAGGCGGCCTGGATGCCGGCAATTCTGTGGGGGGAGTCATAGTGACCCCTTCCCATTTAGCAGTTAAGAAATCTTCTCCTTTTCAAAGAGAGGAGGCGGGCCCCTCCGGGAGAGGGGAGGAGTCGTCCTCTTCGGACTCGTCGGAGGACGATTCCGAGTCAAGCTCTTCTGGCCATGCTTCTTTGGGTACAGAAGAGAAAAACAGCCGCCTGCAAGAGGCGAGACTTTCTCACGCAGTTGAGAAAAGGGACAATTAGGCGGAACCATCCGCCTCTTACCGAGAGCTAAATACCCCCTACTACTGCACGGTACCTCGGGGCCGAATCACAGCCATGCAAGAGAAAGTGGAGAGCTTTATTGAAAACCACACCATGGGCCCCGATTTTCTAGTGTTTGTGCCGGATCCAGAAGACACAGTCGTCTGGCCGGCTGGTTCCAGTTATGATAGCGCCTGCTTTGGCTGCTACGAGGCAGCCATCAAGGCAGGGCTTCGCTTCCCATTACATCCGGCTGTTCAGCGGATTTTGGATGGGTATGAGTTGGGGTTATGGCAGTTAGCCCCAAACTCCTGGGTCAACGTACTCGGCTATGTGGCCGGGTGCGAACTGCACGGGGTGGAGCCGAGCTTCGAGGCTTTCGCCCATATGAACTATCTCAGCCGGACCCCTAAAACAGGCGGTACCGGCTGGTATCAATTGACAAGCCACAGGGGCTACCTCATGACAAGAGGTAAAGCAAACAAGTGGAAGGACTGGCGGAGCACCTTCCTCATCATTGAGAGTTCAGACATTGAGCTGAACAAGCACTTCAATAGGTGGAACAGGAATCCGCCCCTTCTTGCAGGCGGCCGTAGCATGCCGCCTGTTCCCCCTAAGGCTAAGAAAGAGATCCTTGATAAAGGACTCTTTAAAGTAGAGTCGAGGGTCGACTCTACTTCAGGGGTACGAGAGCAAGTACCCCTGCACTGCGTCTCGAGCTTCAAGTGGCTCTATGACGAGTACTTTTTGGCCGCCTGCGGCCTCAGCAGTCGGTGCTCAAGAGGTAGTCGGCCTGTCAAATACTCTATTGTTCCATACATTTGTTGTTTATCTTTTATTAACTTTGCTGTTTGTTTTTGCAGCTGACGCCATGAGAAAAATCACCGCCTCCAAAACTGCGGCGGCCATGTTGCGGGCCTCTATTATGCAACAAGCTTCAACCGACTCACCCAAGAAGGGGGCACCCTTGGTGAGCTCCGAACCTTTCACCCTCTTTTTGGAGTGTTTATGCATATACTAACTTTTTTCTTCTTTTTTAGACGGGTGCTCCAAGAGCTTCATCTTCCCAACAGCCGGACCCCAAGGCCCGGAAGACGACTGTTGGGAGCTCTCCTGGTTCTGCCAGGAAACAGGTGGCGGCTGAGAAACAGCCGACCACTTCTTCTAAAACTCCAACTGGGCCGCCTAGAGGTATGAAGTTATCCTTGTAAATTTTAGACTTGCTCCCTTTGTTACTAAGTCTAATCCGTTTGTTTATGCTTGATGCAGCCGACCCCCAGGAGCCTAACTTGGTAGAGATGGCCAAGTCTATGATCAGGGCAGTTCCTCCAGATGAAAGGGAGGCGGTCAGGGGTGTCGGCACCCTTGACCTTGACGGGATTGCAGGGGTCCTTGCTGAGGTATACTTAGGATATTTTTGAGTATTTGAATTTCTGGACGCCTGTTTTCTTTTTTGTTTGGAAACTGACGCCTGTTTTTTTTGTACTTAGGCCCTGCTCCGAGTTAACGGCCTTCGCAAGCCGCTTGATCGGAAGAACAAAGAGGTAAAGGCTGCAAAAGCTATGGCCGCCTCTGACTGTGATAAGGCAATGTT